AAGGCAGCACATGCCAAAATCCTGAAAGGAAGTTGTAGCGAGATGGGGGTCAGTCTGTTCTCCCTAGTTACAAGCGATAGGACAAGGGGAAATGGCCTTAAGCTGCAGCAGAGGAAGTTCAGGCTGGATGTTGGGAAGAATTTCTTTACTGAAAGGGTTGTCAGGCACTGGAACAGCCTGCCCAGGGAGGTGGTGGAGTCACCGTCCCTGGAGGTGTTTAAGAGATGGGTAGATGTTGTACTTAGGGACATGGTTTAGTGGTGTTGGTAGAGCTAGGACAAAGGTTGGACTCGATGAGCTTGAAGGTCCTTTCCTACCCAAACTGTTTCATGATTCTATGATTCTGTATAAAATTCTCTTATCCCTAGTGTGATAGCACAGGAATATCCACTTGTATAGGAGCTTATTACAAAGAAGTAGGTGTTACGCTGTGTGCCTTAACGTGTGGCCTAACAGTAAGCAAGTAGGTGAAACCTTGCAGAGAATATAATGTTATTCTTAATCCAACAAGCATGTGTATTTCTGTTGCAGCTTAGTGTTAATGTAGTCAGTCTTGCTTTCTTTTGTTTTTTCCCCAATGTAGCTGTGTTTATTGAGGCAAGCACAGTGGGGTTTTCTCCCTGCTGTTAATCTGCTTTTTAATTAAATTTTGTAGTCTGAATTCTACAACCTGCCTTTAAGATGTTTATAATACTATTATTATTGATCTACTAGAGTCATCAATGAATGTCATTTAACTCTTCCTAGTTTTTTTTTTTTTAACCTAGACAACAAAAAATGAAAATTACAGTGTTTTCTAAAATCTCAGACATGCCTCTTTTAGGTCTCAACTCTTTTTCAGTTGTTACCATCTTCATATTAAAATGCTAAGGAATACTTACCAGAAGGCTAAACTCTGTGTCTTACAAGACAGAGTGGAAGCTATGCTCTGTAGATTTGGGGGGGTGGGGTTTCTGTCATGTTTAACAAAAGGAATGGGCTCCTCCACACTATTGTTCTTTCAGCAGAAAAAGGCTGAATGATGAGCCATTGATGCAACATGATATGGTAATGTCATAGAACAACAAATCCACATGCTGTTGTTTAGACCAAAATTCTTAGTAAGATCAGAGTTAGCTATTCCAAGTCAGCACTTTCTGCGAATCTCTTTATTTTTTGCTTTTTACCTTTTCATCAGTGAACTGATGTGACTTTGATGAAGATTCACAAGAGTCATATTACAGTTTGACTTTGCCTTTTTCATCTTCCGTTCACCCCATGAAGCTCTGCTGGGCTGCATTTCAACCCCGTTATGCTCGAAACATTCTCTTCCTCCACAGTACACGTGCAGGTCACCTTGCTGAGTCCTGTGAGAACAAAGGTTCATAACTATCCACCCTGTGAAAAGACTTTTAGTAACTTGCTGTTGCTTCTCTCGTGCTCTTTCTTGGCATTTTGGTTTCTTACAAGTTCGAAGATAATTGTTCAATTTTCTTAGATTTAGAAAAAATTATAGATTAAGATTTTGGATGCTGGAGACAATAAAATAATAGAGAGCTGGGGACGGGAGCTGTTGTCAGTTTTTACACAACTGTTAACCAGGAGTTCCAAGTTACAGAATTACTTTGGTGAACAGACCTCTTCACATGCATTTTCTGTTATTGCCATGTATTTCTTCCCGAGAAGTGTATATAAATTGTATTAGCACTTTATATAAGTAGCACTCATGGAAAGCTTTACCAAATCTAAAGTAAATTTGTGGTCATTTTTTTAACCAGAAAATCAGTTTATTGATGTAGGAACTGAATGAGATATATTATCCAAATCTCATCTCATTTAACTAAAAAGAAGCTTAGTTGGGGACAGGAACATATATCTGGGAAATGTGCTTAACCAAAAATCTTAGTGTTTCTTTTTTTATAAACAGAGTATTTCAGGAATATGTTTGGGTGATTGGCTTGGGTAAGTGCTGCAGATTTTTGTAAGCAGTTTGCTGTCTGATTTGACTTGAAGTTACAAAATTCTGTTTACATAGAGTGGTAATACAGCCTTACCAGTGGTAAAAGCTCCTTCCTTTTTTCTTCTGTTTTCCCAAGTTACCACACTTGCGTGAGAGCATGTATACAGTGTGTGCTTTCTTCTGGGGCGGGGGGAAGAGAAGAAACAGATGCTAGAGTTTTAGATCCTCCTACATGAAACAGTAATATAAATTTTGGTTTGAAAAGTCATTACACTGACTATCCTTACACCGTGGGCCAGCTTCCTTCTGGTTTTGTTTGAATGATCTATCGTCACACTTGACATACCTACTGAGGATCACACTGGAATGCTTTTTGATCCCATGCTATGAAGGAGATACTAAGTGGTTGAGAAATAATCCATTAATAAAGTACATTTCGAAGCACTATAGTTCTGAATGCCTACTACAACTGAGGTCTTAGTTGTGATAGGAAATAAATCAGATTCTTATGGAGTCTAAGTTGGTCTGAAGTCACATTCATCACTGACATCCTCTGACACCTCTTCTGATGGTGTGGGTTGGTAATGGGTTATTCCTTCTCCTGGCATGGATCATAATAGTGTGGATTCATTCAGCAACATATAAGATCAATACTTTACAAAATATGCAATCCCAAAAAGTGTTTTACAAAACATTATATAAATTTTATAAAAATGGATAGTGTGAGACATTTCAACTGCGCTCCATTAAATACCCATCTGCACGTTGAGCTGTTCTGTTACCAGTGCAGATTTTCTGTATGAGTATTTATTGAGTTGACCTTTAGCCGTCTTTTGCAAGAAAATGTAGTGATACAAACCCGTTCAGAGTTGAAAATGGTAGAACACAGTCATTAGCCAAAAACGTTGCTAAAACTTTAGATCCCTTTGGTTTCTAGCTTAGATTTTGCAAAGCTTTACTGATGAACAAAACTTTTCCTTTTTTTACCTTTGCCTCAGAAATCCCATTGAGTGCAGCACTAGGTTCATGTATTAACAGTAAATTAAGACTACTTTTTCCAAGAGAACAGTACCAAACTAGCTGGTTTTAGGCACTACTTTTTATTGGCAGGATTGCTGTTGAATGGTGGAGTTAGAACTTGGTCACCAGAGGAGTGGTAGAGATGGAACCAGCCAGAGGTCACATTTGCTTCCATAGGTTTGCAGTGCAGATTCTGAAGTTCGCAGTGTGTCTACAAAGCAATTTTTCTGTGGTGTTCCAGCACGAAATTTACTCTTAAATTATTTTCACCTTCCTTTTCACTGTTGTTCACCCCCCACACTCTGACTGTGTATCTTCACTTGTGTCATGCTAGGATACATACATGAGATATTTCACATCTTTTGTTAGTGGTTGAATAACCTTTTATACTTCTCTTGATAGAATTGCAAAGGCAGGTTACTTTTCTTAATCTCTGTTCCACATATGATGGTGCATGAAACTTGTGTGTACATCTGTTAAAGGAACAGAGCAGCCACAGAACCCGTGGGGAATAGTTAGCACTGGCAAGAGAGAATTTATGTAGGTGAAAGTGGCTTACTCTGAAGGTCATAATTAGTGAGTTTTGTGATTAAAATTTTGTCAACCTTTAAAAAAATGTCTAGAGGCAGTGACTCATTGTATATAGCATTTACTTCTTTGCCATACGAGCCTGTTAAGAACAGGTGCACAAATCTTTCTCAAAAGCTCCCGAGTGCTATTTTTGAGAAAAGATGAGACAAGAGGTGGCTTGAGAGGGAAATCCCCTTAGAATATGTCTAAAGTAAGCAGATGTATTACATTAAAATATTAGAACTGTAGCACAGCGTTTGCAAGGCCTGTTTCTCCATTATGCTAGCTCTGATTTCTTTTTAATAGTAGCATTTAGTTTATGTTCAGTATTATTGTCTGTCAGGATATGCAGTTATCTGAAAGCAAGATGTCGCACACACTGGGATTCCCTAAAGCTCCTGAGACTGCCCTTGAAGTCAGCTGAGATCCTCATAAACTTAGAGGATTGGGTCTTTGGTAAATATTACAATAATAGTAAAGATAAAAGTAAACTAATGTGAAAATGAAGAAATTTCTTTTTATCCCCAAATATTGATT